GAAGTGGATGATGAAGTGGATGATGAAGTGGATGATGAAGTGGATGAAGTGGCCTTTCATCCCTGGAAAAAGAGGGTGAGTGGGTGAGTGGTTGCGCAAGCCCAGTGGTGAACTATGATATGCCAAGAATGATCAGGTTCCGCAGATGCGCGAACCGCCGGGAGGGGTCCGACATGGCTCCGAGGTCGTTTGGTCCCAACAGCAGATGGCCAAGTCAAAGCCGTGTCATGCCAAGTTAGATGGACACAGGACACAGGTGGGAAATAGAAAAATCACCTCCCGACGGCAAACAACAAGCTGACTGCGTGTCCGCTCCAAACTCCAAGCGTCATTCAAGGAGATGCCTGCCTTTTCATCGAAGATCGAGGAAGCCTGACGAAGCCGATGAAGGCGTCGGCTTCCGTTCGGTGAAGCGGAGAACGTCGGTCAAGCGGTTTCTGGGGCTTCAGGGTGCTGTGAGGTTGGTCACTGGAATGTTCTCCATGGCACCATTCTGAGCACAAAGGCTGGCAGATAAGGGCCACTCTAAGCTACCAGTAGGTCTCGAGCCCATAACCCATTCCCAAGTCCAGAACAAGAAAGATCCTCCTCCCACCGACCACGACGCCTAAGATGGATCCATTCAGAGCCGCGGTGAAAAGCCTCGCCGAACCATGGGAGCTAACCAGGCTAACCACTACCGGTTCTCCACCCACAACCTCCCGCTCACCGGTGCCGGGCACGCGCCTGTTCTCACCACCGGTGCCGGAACCGAACGTTCGGAGCACCGCGCCTTGCAGGTCACAAAATCGGTGGAGACGACCTCCTCGTCGGTCCAATCCTGAAGCACCCGTCGACGCGGACGCAAACAGCGCACGCGACGGCGGCGCGACGGCGGCGCAGGTTTCGGTGTCCGAAACGTCCAGAAACGACTCGGTCGACTCAATAGACTTCGTCGACGAAACGAAGACTCAGCTGATTTCTTTTGGGACCGCTGAGGAGGAGAATCCATATCTGATCAATATGACTTGTTCTACCAAAATGCAAGCTATAGAACTTATATGAACTTATACTCTACATATCAATCTTCCATGGTTTGTAGGGTGTGTTGACCCACTGATACCCACTGCCAGGTCACTGCCATTTTTCACAACACCCACTGCCACAATCCCTTAGCAACTTGGCAGCCATCGTTTACCGCACGCATCCTTTCGTGGGCCGCCCTGCCAGGACGCCCTTCATGGGGCCGGCGGCAGCGTCCTGCGGTCTCGGTCCAAAGGATCTGTGAAACAGATCGAAACAAAGGAAGCTTCTGAAGCGGTCTGAGACGCTTTCGTTTTTCTGACCCGCGTTTTTTCTGATGCGCCGTTCTCAGAGATGATATCCCATTGGATAGTCAAGAGCCCAGTGGATGATGATGGTTACTAAAGACCGACATCTCAAAAATGGTCACAATCTTTTGCTGACTGTTTCAGGTAATGGGACATGCCCTATCTAGATTCGAGATAATTACAAGAAGTCTTCTGCATTCAGAGAGTGTCTCCTTCAGACATTCTGGCCTTGGTGTTTCCCAACAACATGTGTCCCAAATGGCTGTTCAAATACCATGAACTTGGGTCTCTGGTGTTCATCACTATCCAGGTCAGACGGTCAGGGGAACCTCAATGTGCTTGTCCCACCAGGCCCCACCTACCGTGCGAGGACGCTGTATACTTCCTATATCTTCTCCCACCACCACACGTCTACACTTCCCACCTTCTCCCACTCCCCTCCTGAAAAGCTTCCTCCCACTCTCCGCGCCTTGATGGCCTTGACGATGTCCTCGTACTTGGCCGGCTTCTCCAAGCGGCAGGTCAAATCCACCACCGAGACGTCCGGCGTGGGCACGCGGAAGGCCATACTGTCGAGTGTGTGGAGTTCGTTCACCCCACGTTGGTTACTCGTCGTTTCTGGGCCAAATCCAAGCTGCTCCAGAAAAGATCCGAAAGGGATTTGGCTCAAAATGGTGAGGTGTGACTTTTGCCCTCACCTCTGATTGTCCCATTTTTTTTTCATCCCAACCCATTCTCCACTCCCTCCACTCCCTCCACTCCCCTCCCAACCCCGAGAGGCCGAGGGCCGCGCCCAGTCAGCTTTCCGTTCATCGCGGGGATGACCTTGCCAACTGCCTTGCCGCATCGAGTCGTCCGTTCCCGTCGTCCTTCACTCGGGGCTCGTCGATCACCGCGGCGGCGGCTCGATCACCCGAAGAAAGGAACCCCCTGTGGCGGCAGGACCCATCCCGCGGCGTCGACCGTCAGAGGCGGAAGACCGTCGACTTGGCGAGCCCGAGACGGCCTCTCTGGCATGTCATGCTCTGGAGATGCTCGGGGAGGATGGTGTGCAATGATCCAAAACGAAAGGATACGAAAGGCGCTGATAGGTGTGCATTGAAATTAGGGAGACCGTACACCCAGGGGGATGGTTGCGCTATGTTGCGCTACATACTATTCGCCTCCCTGTGGTAAAACACACACCACACCAATCTCCCAATGAATCAAAACCTCAGAAAAATGGCCAGAGTCAGTGTGACATGACAAGAATCCATGCCTTGTCAACGAACCCGTGCCCTAGTTAAATTTTCACCAAGGACTCACCACAACTTCATGCTCATATCATCACCAGCTCCACTCCACCCACGGTTCGCGGTTCGCGCGCGTGCGTGCCGCCTTGGCCGCTCCAGTGGAGGAGGGGATGATGTTCTGCGAGGCGCATCGGCCTCCTCGCCAGTCCTGCGCGATCGGAGGGCTTGCAACGGTGAGACCGACCGATTTCGGGGGCCCGATTCAAAACAGGCCGAAGGTAAGAAGTGCAACCTGTTTTTTGATTGTGACAACCATGTTGATTCCACCTTTTGGAATATACTCCATGAAAAAATCATGGAAGTGGATGGCATGGCCCCTTGGATGACCATATTCCTTTACAAACAGGTGGCTTCCCACTTTCATGATTTTTCAGGGAGTGTAGTGGAAACAGTTCACCAGAGTAAAGATGAGGTGCGCATGATTGGTGCCATGTTTCTGTACTTTCCAGTGCCCTACATTCCCTATTAGAAATAGGAGAGGGTTGTCAACCCAAAAAAACTGCCAAAGAATGTGTAGTTCATACCCGTTCGGGCCCTTCCCTCAGCGGAGGATGATTTTCACCCTCATTCGAGAAGACTTTGGGTTCTGTCTGAAATCTTCCCTGGTGCACCTGGGGATCCTGGACTTTGAAATCCGAGTCCATTCCTTGGAATCTCATGACACAACCAAACAAATACTTACATCGAAACTCCTTCTTAGGGTCTGCTCTGGCTGAACCATTCCAAGCCCCACTAGCTTGAAAGAACTCTGAACCAGCAAAAGAAACAATTCCATGTTCCACTTCCACCAGGTGATTGAATTTTTTGGGGATTTCACAGCTACCCATCGGTGATGAGTTCCGTGAATGAAGACAACACTTTTTCAGGCATTTCCTTTGCAGTTAGATCCCTGGATCCTCTTAGCAGTCTGATCCAAAGTGACCATCCACTACAGACGAACCAACAACGCGACCGATGGCGGGTCCTTGCCACCACGAGAGGGACCATCCACGGTGAGCTGCGTGGCGGTCATGGCCTCAGACGAAGCAAAGCTGACGAGTTGGCTGGCTGGCTGGCAGTGATGATTGACCGAGCAGGAATAATAAGTGATTTGGTCGCATAGATCATATAACATATAACATATATGTTGATATATATATATATATACATACATATACAATGAGGGCCCAGTACGGCACAAGCAGCAAGGATGGCATCACATTTTGGCTTGGAGGAAAATTCATCTTCATAGAACATGCCGCATCGAACACATTGGTCCTCTGCTTCACTCAGGGGCACAGCAGCGAACGATTATGTGGCAGTGGTACCACTCGGCATGGGACCTTCTGAGTCCGCGGCAAATGGTTGAAAAACATCTTGCACGCCTACGCTACCAGTACCATAGTATGAGTGACCGGTGGAACCTATTCCCCCCAAGACCATCACCTGAAAAAAAAGACGTTGGAAAGAAATATATAAGTTCCCATGCCTGGATCATGCACCGGTCGCCGCAGGAAACTCGCCATTCTCCCCAAGAGTGACGAGGGGCCCCCTCCCTGACGTATCGAATCCTGGTTTTTCAGGTTGGAGCTGGTTGAAGTGTTGGTCGTTGGAACTGGTCCTGCCAGAACCTGCCATAGCTGGACGCCGCCAGGGCGCGCCGACATCGACCGCCTTCCAACCGACCCACGCGGAGCAACACGTGGTGACGGACATGGACTGGGGTGACTGGAGCTTCAGCAGAACAGAATGATAGCCAGTTGGGTGGAATTCTTCGTGGCTAGAAGAACTAGAATGGCCTGTCATAACATTGCCAAACTTGATCTTCCTCCGCCATGATGTCCAAACCTTTATCTTTGCTGAATTGGGAAAAGGTAGTGCTGGTCGTCATGAGACCATCATGGGAGAAGTCATAAAGGGCGCAAGCAGGAAACCAAGTGGCATGGACAGTGGTCATCAAGCCCTCAATAATGCCGAAGTTCTCGTGAACCACCTGCATCTCGCTCAACCAACTCGCCGGCGGATGCAAACAAAAAAGACAGGCCAGCCAGACACCCCCGCACGTCGGTGACGTGCTTGTGATGAAAGATCAGTATATTCTTCAAATGAAGTGCTTGGTAAATGTTCTCAAGAAAGCCATGAAACCGTGCTCGAGCACTTCAATTGAAAGCAACAAAGTGGCTTTCTTCAAATGAAGTGCTTGTTCATGACAAAGAAAGCCATGAAACCGTGCCCAACTGCCGACAGATCCCAGGACCGAATCGCCGGCGTCGAAGGAAGGGGGGCGGATAGAACCAACCCCACAGATTCATCGAATTCCAATCCCCACACCTCTCAACTTCCAAAAATGCTTGGAGCCTGGTGAACACTCGTGCGCTATGCACGAGCTGAAGGCATCAAAGACCCCACCCACTGTGCTTCCGCTTCCGTCACCCGCCCAGTTCTGTCGCCGGCCAGGCGACAGATTCGGTGTCACATACTCCACCCCACCGGGGAAGGAAAAAAAACCAACGAGGCGAAACGCCTTGGTCAAGGGCGCCAGGCAGTTCGTGGTGCAGGAGGCGTTGGAGACCTCGGGGTGCCGTCTTCCGCTGCGTCGGACCGCGAAGCACGGACCGCGGTCCCCGACTCCGAGGAACTGAGTCACCGGGTTTTCTGCCGGTTCCGGCGGCTCGGCATCTTCCCGGTGCGTTGCCGTTTGCCAAGTCAAGCTTCTCACAAAGGGCCCACGAAGCCCACTCCCACTCCAAGAGTCGACTTCAAATTCACCTCCAGCCCTCGAAGTGTCGCTTTCGGGTTTCCCAAGTTTCGTCCCTCCAAGTCCACCTTTGACTTCGTAAGAGCTACTGTTTTACACATTCTCTGAGGTCACGCACCACTGTGTCGGAGCTCTTGTACTGCTCATGGTTCACGCCCATGACGTACATTGGGACGGAATCCTGCCACATCAAAAAATAACAACAGAAACCAAAAAAGAGAAAGAGCGAAAGCAAATCCACCTCAAGAAGCCATGTGGTGAAATTGGATTCTGACGTGTCGACCTGTGTGGCATCATGGTCTCAAGTTCTTTAAACCACGAAGGTTTCGTCGCTCAAAAAGTCCAATGTTCACCTGGCTTGAGCAACGAACGTAGGGAAGTGTCGGGTGGCTGGATCCATTCCGGAATCTCTAGACAGGGGGTAAGCGAGCTCCTTACCTCATTCCCTACTTTCGTCGCACCGGTATTGATGGTAGGAATCCAAGAGGTCCCGCCGATCTTATTGCTCCACCTTTCACGGGCCTAGAAGAAGCTCCCTTTCTCAACATCCATCCCATGGTCATTCAACATCCATGCGCACCAAGCGCAATTGGTATCCAGAAGTCTCCGACATGGGCGAGCTCCACGTTATCATCACAATAGCCATGTTCTCATCGCCATGGCTGCCATCTCTTCCGCCTTTCATTCCACCGACCGCAACCCACGGACCAGGGACGGACCATCACGGGCTGTCCGATGCAGCTGGTGCGGCGCCTTGGGAGGCGCCGAGATGATGACCTTCTTGGCGCCGCCACCGATGTGCAGCGAGGCCTCCAACGCACGGACGCGTGGCTCGCGTGGCTCGCGGAGGCGGAGCTCTGCGCGGTGGAGGTCGGGGTTTCAGAATCGCTTCCACGAGATGTTGAGAAGCAACGGACTGGTGCGAAACCGTGGAGGTTGGGCGAAACGTGGTGTTTTTTGTATCTCGTGATTGAAGTACCGGTGAGAACCCAACCATGAAGAAAATCAGCAAAGACATTTTGAGTCATGGACTTCAAAACATCTACCGGGAAAGCCCTGCCTTTTTTGCCCACCAAGACATGAATACGTTAGTTGAATGAGTCTGACATGGTCACCAAAGTCTTCCCACAGCCGAGTGCCAGGATCCACAGCCGGGATCGCCCTTGATTGCAGGGATCTTCCAGGATCTTCAGGTGTAAGATGCCTAATGTAGAACTCTGGATATTCCCTGGCCCCCAGAAAAACTATGAGAAAAAAGCTTTTTTCTTCCTGTTTTTTTGCTTAGAATCAGGAGTGTAACTTGGCATTCCGGTCACCATGATGGAGAAAGGTCCTTTAAACCTCAGCCAGGGGCTCCCATGGCGGATCTATAATGCCGGCAAAGCACCTTCTCCTGGGTGGTGAAAATGCCTCGTCAGCCGAAATCGAGAAGGAACCCTTGGGACTGACCATGAAACGTTCTATGGGACACCATGACCCCTGTGATTTTACAGAGGAAATATCCACATGGATATGTTTTGATCAAAGGATATCAAAGGCTTCTCTACACTCGACAATGATACGGAACCCAGGTGCGCAAAATGGAACCATCCCCGGGTGGAAACAAACGTTAAAAACATTGGCATGGTTGAGCTCCCATTCCGATGGTGATTCTTACAGTCAGTCAAAACCCATCGCCACGCACACGTCAAGAATGAAAAGCACCATGTTATACGCATGTTTCAACGATGTCAGGCCACAACATGGCCTAGTACGCAAGGTTCCATGTTGTTTTGCCTACATTCTAGCCCCTCGATCTTCGCCCAGTTGAACCTCCTCTTCTTTAACCTGTCCACGGAGAACTTCTCGGCCCAAATGAACACCAAAATGGAGCGGTGCCACCCCGCACGGTGCCGCACCCCCCCCACCTGTGGACTCACAGACGTACTCCGCTCCACTCTCGCCCCACTTGATCGAGGCGGGGTCCTCGTGAAACGTGTTGCAGACTGTAAAGAAGCATGTGAAAAAAATGCACCTGGACCCCCAGTCGGGGGGTTGGCAAACATGGACACCCCCCTTTTCGGGGCGGGCGATTCCTGGGCACTTGGGTCTTCCGTGAGGGCTGGTAATCGATGTGTGACATGTGTCTGTTTCGAAAGACATATGTCAAACAGCATCAAAGCCCAGCAACAAGCCTAGCTGGTTGGGCATTTGAGAAGTCCCAAAAAGAGGGACGAACAAGGAGCCCGCGGGGACCGAGGCAAGGCCTCGACCAGTCAGTTCAGGACTGCGCTCAGTCGGGTCGACCCTCAGAGACTCCCTCCACCGTCGGTGAGAAGGACTGGAGCTCAAACCGAAGAGAGAACCCCATATGAAGGACTGGAGTCCAACTCTTTGGGGTCAAGGAAGGTGAAAGAGAGCAGGTTCTCACCTGCTGGGCCTGGTGGCCTCTTCTCTTTGGAAGACATCTACCTGGGTTGTCTAGGTGTCCAATAGACTACCCTACCCTGCTTATGGACCTCCAGACAGATTGAAGAATCCTGGTAAGATAACTTCCCTGTCTTTATGGACCATCTAAGATCTCATTCCACGTTGTTCTTAGCTTCTCATGGCCCGTTGATCCCTTTGTGCCTGCCTTCTCGTGGAACACGGCAATGTCTTTGCCATTCACCACCTGAACGAAACAGCACTTCTGGCTGCCAGGAGAAATGTCAGGCACAAAATACATCTGCCAGCAGTTGCAAAGGGGTGCCTATTGGAGGATAGGCACCCCATTATCCACTTACGTAGGGACTAAATACCACGCCTTTTTGACTCCTGGTGGCTTTTGTTTGGTCTTGGCTTTCAGGGGTCTACAAGGATTGACCTGTTACAAACCCTCTTGACATTGCTGAAGCTCTTTTCTCTTCAATTTGGCATGAAGGGATGAAAAACCTCTTGAAGCAAAGATCCTCTCCAAAACAACCTCTCTAAGCTGACACAAGGCTACCAGTTCTGTGATGTTCTGTGTGTGGACTCAGATGAAGCCCTGTAACGCCAAGGTGCTAGGAACTCCTTTCCACCATCTTTCCTGGCTGCAATGGTGCCTGGCTGACATTTACGGTCGCAGGGCAGGGTGCCATCTATACCCAGCGCTTTTTTGCACGACGAAACAGACACCAAGAACTGAAGAGCTGAACCAATTGCTTGGGCACTACGATTCCAGGAAAGTCTAGCATAAAATAGCTCTATATGGCGAAGACAGCAAAATGATGCTTCATCCCCCCAAATCTGAGCCTCCGAAGGTCTTGTGCACGCTATCATACTTCAGCTGGTAGACCATGTAATCGAGATCCTGATTCGTTCGAAGCGACCACATGACACACAGCCACCATGGAGAAGAAGAAGAAGAAGAAGAAGAATCGAAGAAGACGATCCGAACCATCTCTCCAACCGACTCCTGTTGCCGCCGGGAGGGCGCCCGAGCGCGGAAGCGCCCGAGCACCGGTTCAACGTTCGATCCACCATCGCTATGGCCCTGGCCATGAAGGGGTCGTTGATGGCCTTCACCTCACGGAAAGCCACGGAGTGAGCAGCTTTTTAGAAGGAGAGCAGGTGACGTGCCAGGGCCAGGGCCGAGCTCTGCCGAAGTCGAGGATAGGCGACGTATGGTCACTCCAAGGCGGAGGCTTGGGGTACTTGTAGCCCAGTCCAGGTCCAGTAAAACCTGTCCGATCTCATTAAGTCGTGGATTTGCATCTTACCGGAAACCCATGACATGAGGTCCGCAAGACCTGTAGACAATGTGCCTTTTGGCAAGCCATGAAATCTGTTCAATGTGACTGGCAAATCGAGATTCCCGGACGGCTTGAGTGGCAATGCGCACTGCGCATCAACATACACACACTGCAGAAATGACGGGAAACTAGCGCGACATTCCGGCAATGAATCGGATTTTGGATGGAAGGACATCGCAAATCGGTCTAAACCTTCAGACTCTACCTCATTGAATCATTGAATCGATGATCCTATGCCAAACCGCCAAACCCCATCTAGGAGATCATCTGACTCACCTGTTGGAAAAACTGTGGCCAAGTCAGTTCGCTTCTCCACAGCACTGCCTGTTTTTACATACCAGCCATCCGACGCCAGGTCACCGTTCAGACGCGTTGCACACCCAACACCCCCACCTCTTCGAGTCGAATTGCGGGCTCCGACTGATCCGAGCGCACCCACCCTGGAAGTCCGGAAAACGACCCATTCATGCCCATTCTATCGTTTTAAGATGGTTGATCTGGTTCTGGTTCTGCTAGTGCCGAGCTCGGTAAAAACATGTAAAAACCCATGCCAGGTAGTGGAAAAAAAAGAACCAGCGGCTCTTCAACCCATGCTGGGCCACGACGTCGGCCCTCGCTTCAGTTCACGTCCGACTCGTTCGGCGCGTCAACCCCGCATGCGCCACAGCGACGGCGGTGGGACGCGACGCCGCGCCTCGGCGTCCGGGTTTCCGGAGGCGGCGCGGAACACTAAGCGTCCGATGCGGCCGAAGCCGTTGATGCCCATACCTCGGCGTCGGTCGGGGGGGGGAGCCCCGCAACGAAGGGGCACTGGAGGTGCGGGGCAGGATCCACCGCTTGGAGGTGGGGCTTTCGCCGGTCCGGTCTTCTCGGCCGCAGATGGGGGTTGACTTCCCTCCTCTTGAGCCAATCTGAAGCTTCGGGAGGCTTTTTTGGACCGGGAGCGCCTCAGGAGACGGCAGGGGCTTTTGAGGGAAGATCATCTGGATACGCCCCGTTTCGTAGCTTCTTGTTCCTAACACGTTGGCTTCTGTGGCCCAAGGGAGGTGGCATTTTCTCCTGGTTTTGCAACCACAGGCTGTGTCTTCGTGCTTGACTCAAACCCCTACCACCAGGACCTTCCACCAAGAGGTGTCTATCAAATTCTATAAATAGTCTCTGGCTGAGGTGATTCGGGGTGTCCAACAACCACCTGGCTGGGAAGCTCCGCCCCACGCGGAAGGTCAGTTTTGTCAAGGGTGGAAAGCAAAAAGGAACATGACTCGATATGACTCACATGATCCCAGCAAGGGTTTGAGGTCAGAATCTACAGCCATGTTCCACCACCTTGGGGAATGAAGGTCCCAAGGTCTACAACCTCTGATCTACAGCATTCTACAACCACTGTAAGGATTGGTCGTGGTTCGCTGGCCCAACCTCTCCGTTTCCCAACCTGACCGTCGATCCGAGTGAAATGAGCTCCGACGGATGCCATGGATTCCATGGGGTTTCGGACAAAGCCAAGTGACCCACTGGCATCGTTGCGAATCGGGTCGGGTCTAAGACGGAAAGGCAAAAAATCTGTGAAGGCCCTTTTGAGCACTACGGTCATGGACGGCGCAGCGAAGCATCTGAACATGCCCAGCAAGAACAGCGGAGGATTGAACATGCGATGCAAGCAGGGGGTGCCGGTGCTATCACACTAACTGGGAACATGCCGAATTGAAATGCCGACAGTTTGATGCCAAGTTTTCTTAAGTAACTTAGAGGGCCTATCAACAGCATCTTTCTTGCACAGCGAAGAACCATCTCACCATCTCTCCAATATCTGCACAGTCAGTGGCTTTTTTCTGTCTTCATACTCCAGTGCTCTGACAAACTCGCATTTAGAAGCCATGGTGCTTTTCAGACAAGACCAAACATTTCACTGAGTTTCTTACGTGTCGAAGACTTGCAACTCCTGTTAGTTCTCTGCAAGACCCTACCAAGCACATGAAGCTGAGCAAGGAAAGCCCCAAGGCATCACCAAACGCGAGCGAAGGGTATTGAATCTTGAACCTCCGAGTAACAGCAGCGTGGGGCGAATCTATAATCCAAAGAACCTCTGCTTGCTTCGTGAATATGTTTTGTGCTGCTATAAGCCCCACACTGGAAGCCACATTTGGAAGGGCTTACGGTCTTTTTGCCGATTGACTTCTGGGCTTTCTCAGCTTTTAACCTGGCACTGCTCGGCCGAGTCATTGAGATGCTAGCTTCTGCATCTTTCTTCAACATTGCTTTCTCCCCCTTCAATATATAGGCTATCGATAATTTCATGATATGTCATAGTCTGTGACAAAATGAGTTGACTTGCTCCAAACCATTGGACTCTTCGGTCTCGTGTTCACTTCGGCCCAACAAGCTGTCTTCGGTCTCGTTTTCGGGGCGGTCCATCCAAAGCAAAATGGCATTCGCAGGGTTGGACCGTCCACATCTTTCAGCATGCTCAAACACATTCAAATCGACTACGAATCCATTGGGACCCCAAATAGCACTGACACGGAGGACTTTGAATCGATCAAACCCTGACCCTCCGTTGCCTTTGATAAACGACGACGAGCGTTACAATCGTAAAAAAGACCGTCGAGTGTGTGAAAACTAGGTCGACCCCGGAAAACAGCGACAATGGCTCAAATCTGCATATCCAAAAACAGCACAGTTAAGGGATACGTCGGGATACGTTCAATCATTGCTGAAAATAGGACACCACCCGCTATAAGTGTATTGAGATGCATTTAGATGCCTTTACCCAAGGCCCGCGCTCCCCACATTCCTCCACCAACTCAGACTCCGCAGTTGCTCCGCACCCATCGCGCGCAAAGACACGAAGCACCTCAACCGTCCACCTTCTTCATGTGAATGGCCAGCTCGACCAGTCGGTTGGAATAACCTCCCAACGTCGGACGGCCGTCGCGTCGCCCGGTGTCGCCCGTCCTCCCCCACGGTTTGGGGGACACCGAAACGACAGTCCGGGCTCGTCCCGGAAGCCAAGGTCAATCTGCATCGTCCAGTTCAGGATGTTTTATATTCTTGGTTCTACCAACAGAGGTTGAAGGACCCTATACACTATCCTATAGGTAGCCCAGGTGACGGGTCCTAGTTCAGGTCACTGGCTACCTCTGTTGCTATGTCATTTGACCTCTCGTGACTCGAGCTCCAGCAGCGCCACCGAAGTGCGCACTGCGGGCTCACGCGGTGTGCCCACACACGGCGTTTGGCTTCAGCTCGGTTCGGATGCCCCGCTAGTTGGAGCAGGTCTGGTGGCATCATCCCATGACGAACCAAGGGTCGTTCTTCAGCGTCGCACTGAGTCGGGGGATGAAGCCGACCCGGTCTGGTCGAACCCAGCTCCCGGCGAACCCACCTCGCTGGGTCCACAAACAGCCGGTTCGCGGGGTTCGCTGGGGTCCAGCGGACCTATGGATATCTATGGATATACCCAGACGCTCATGGGCCCTCATATGGAGGGGTCGGACCCTCATATGGAGGGGTCTGGGGTCTCGAATCCCTAGGTTTTGAGGGACCAAGGGCTGTTTGGAGCGTCTGGGTACCATGATATACCTAGATCCATGGGACTTTCATTTGTGGGTCCGGATGGATCCGGGTGACCGCACTGCTGGTCTTGGGCCCCAGTGTCAGCCTGACGTCTCGCTGCTGTCGCTGCTGAGAGGGCGGTCTCAGCACATGCGGGCTACGTCGCTGCTAGCTGCTGCTAGAGCGTCCAGGACTCGGTCTGAGCATCCAGGCCCCACTCGTTGTCGTACCAGCTGACCAACTTCACGAAGTTGTCCTCGTTTTCCGCTCGTACGCGGAAAACGGAGCGAGTTCCGCTCGGAACCCAAGGAACGCGAGGAATGCCCCAGTGATTTGGTGTGCCCGGACCAAAAGGACCGGACAAAGACCAGTCTTCCCCTGCTTTGTGATGCTTGGTTGGGAATTCTTCATAAAATGCATCCCAAAAAAATAACGAACCAGCTGCCAGCTCCCATGCCGCGGGAACTGCACCTCGACCCTCCGAAACTGTGTGGCTCATCTGTTGGTCATCTGCATAGTATGGAATAGCGCCAATATTTCATACCAGCACCTATAATAGTGATTCTATATTGTGATTACACCTATATACTATATCATTTGATTACACCTGTAAATACCAGCACACGACTCTACAGCTCTCTCATAAAGAGGCTTGTGGTCAGCCCTGTTAGAGGTCTGATTTGGTGGTCTCTTAGAGCCGACTGCTAAGTGCCTCAGACCTCTATGCCCAAAGACCTGGGAATCCAGAAACAGTGGCAGCCAGAAAGCGATGATAACCACGGTTAACCTCTCTGCATTCAAGTCTCATTCAAAGAGATGCCCGCCTTCTCGTCGAAGATGGAGGACGCCTATGGATACCCAGCCAGCCGTTCCCGAGTCGTTCGAGTCGGTCGAGGGGTGATGTGTCGGTCGAGTCGCAAAAAGAACCATCAGCACTGGTAGAGTCTTTGTGTGTGTTTTGTTCAGACTTTTTCAACTCCTAACCTGCTAAGAGAATAGAAAGACCGGGTGAAAATGTCCTCAGTTCTGAAACCGCCCAAGAACTGCACGTGGATCCCCCAAAAAATAAACTAAATAAGCGGATGAAAAACAACATCACAAAAAACAGTTTTGAACCCCAAGCCTGGAAGCCCACCATGACATGATGACCAGCCCCTGAACCAAACGCTCCTCCAAAGCCCCTGAACCGAGTCGTCCGCTCCGAACGCCTTGCAGGTGACGAAGTCGGTCGAGACGACCTCCTCGTCGGTCCAGTCCTCGGGCGATGACCGGAGCGATGACCGGACCGATGGACCTCCGCCGGTGCTTCTCGGGGTGGGTTTGGCCACTGGACCAATCAAGAAATATGGATTTTGGCTGGCATAGTCAAGAACCGGAGGAACCTGCTGTGATTTTCTCTGCAATGTATTCCCAATTGGATGCTTGCGCGAGATATAGACCCAAAGTAGGCATGACAGGGTATTGAGATGTATCTGTAGCAGAACCGCAGCTCATGGGAGACCTAACAAAAATGATTCGGCTCGATATGGAGCGTTTTCACCACATTCCATCCCAAATGTCTCTTAACCTGTCCATCTTCAAAGATCCGCAACCCTTAGAGGACATCGGCTTTCTCGGGCTCTGCTCCCGCCACCGGCTTCTTTATCGCGGGAGGTCAACGGCCGACACAGCGAGGAGGGCTGCCTTTCAGAATCACTGGCCCAAGAATGCCAAACTTGTGAATCCCAATTTAAAAGATATATGATATATGATGAAGAACATACCAACACAAGTGGAATCTGTTTCAAGTTATCCAAGTTCAAGCTTACCTGCCTGAACTCACTTCAAGTCACCCTCCAGCGTCATCCCTCTTTGGTACCACAGGTCCCTTCTCACCAAGCTGCGAGCACACCCTTGAGAGGCCCAGCTGCCGCATCCTGCTTTTGGCGGGCGGTTAAGAGGAGTCCAACAAACTAGTCCGAAGGGGTTCTGGAACCCGTGAGAAAGAAACGCCTCTCGGAGCCAATGTGGATCTTTAAAAAGAAAATAACACACAATGTCGTGGACCTCCACACGTCAGGGCATTTGGCCACAAGGACTTGGAGCCATTTCTGGGCTGTTTCTGCCGGCTTGGTGACTTGAACATCACTTGGCCCCTCACCACCCCCCCTCCTCCCACTCTCCGCGCCTTGATGGCCTTGACGATGTCCTCGTACTTGGCCGGCTTCTCCAAGCGGCAGGTCAAATCCACCACCGAGACGTCCGGCGTGGGCACGCGGAAGGCCATACTGAGGCGGCAGTGAGTTTCTGAGCAAGGCCCTCCATGGACGTGTTCCTGGCAAATTCCAGTCAAATGTCCAGAAAGAAGAACTAGAGACAAATTAGTGCTAGCTCATCTAACATCCCTGAGACAGAAACTTAACTTGACTTGATCCAAGTCCTCTAGACCCTCTCCACCCTTTTCCCTTACCTACCTTTTCCGCACCGCGGTGCCACAGGTGCCGGGCTCCCGGACCCGGTCAACTTCCCGTTCATGGCGGGGATGACTTTGCCCACCGCCTGGGGAGGAGCCCCAAGAACCGGTCCGGTTGGCGCAAGGGTTGGCGCGCCCTCCCAAGGGCCGGAAAGAAAGCATCCGCCTTGAGAGCAGAGGTGATAGGTCCCAAAGACTAGTGGCTTGCCTGAGAGGCGAATGTCCATACCAAAGACCCCAGCTCAGAATTGATAGAAAGGACAGAAGACACCTTTGAACATGCAGTGGAAAAGCCTGAAACAATCGACATTTGGAGCACAACTTTAGTCCATCACTCACCCTGCCACCGAGTCGGTGCACCTCCCACCAACATGGGGCGAAATCAGGACATGGAGCGGGGTGCGGCATCCCGCTGGTAGGGTGGGAAAGGACTGGTTCACAAGGCTGAAAACAAACATATCTAAGCATCCTGAAGACTGGTTCCAGGGAGCAAATTCCGGATGTCAGGCGCCAGTCACAAACTGTGCACCACTCCCAACCCCAGAGGATTGAAACCCAACCGCATTTTTGATGTTGGGA